TGGCGGTTGGTCGACCAGACCTACTGGTCGACTTGCTGGTGGTCGACCAGACCTGGTGGTCGGCGAAGGAGGGGGCGACGTCGACCTCGACTCAGGACGCCGAGCAGTTGGGCGTCGAGTAGCTGGGCGTCAACTTGGTGACGCCGACTTCGGGTAGCCGACTTGGGTGGTCGGCCAACAACTGCGCTGGTCGACGTGGAGCTGGTCGACCAGGAGTGACGTCGACCTGGAGCTGGTCGACCAGGGGCGTGGTCGACCTGGTGAGGTCGACTTGGGGTGGCCGTCGACTTGGGAGGTCGACAGGCACATATAGGTCGACGTGGTTGCCCGGTCGACCAGGTTACCTGGGTGACAAGGTTCTGCGGAGGAGTGCGACGGTCGCCCAGGCAAAGTTGGCGAGCCCGACCTCGGTGGTGGTATCCCGAGGTCGACGTGGCTGCTCAGATGCAGTCATCAGCGCCAGGTTGACTTGGTGTGTGCGCTGTGCAGGTGACAAGGCTCAGCACGCCAATCATCTGCGAGCACCTACGCAGTTGGTGCACTGCTGTTCTGCGGGAACAACGCTGGCACGCCATCAACCTGCAGTGTTGGCACGATGTCGACTTTGCACTGCTGGAGCGCGGTCGACCAAGTCGTGGTGGAATGCAGTCGACCATGCTGCGCTGGCAATCGACCGACCTGCATGCTAGCTCTGATGTAGTCTTGCAATGCCAACTTCATTGTACCATTGTTGTCAATCTTTGCTAGTGGAACTCTTGCAATATCTCCCCGTGAATGTGCAAGCAGAGAGCACACGAGCAAACAACTAAGGAACGCAGAGATTATACGAGCACCCGTGCCTAACCCGTAGTCTAGCTCCCGTTGCAACAGTTATCTCTGCAGTGATTACGGTTTACTTGCTGTATTTTGCTATTTTTCTATTCCTGCTGGTTTACGCTTGCTAGGTTGTGTTCACAGTACCGTATGGCCTCGGATAGAAGCGCAGGCCTATGTTAAGCGCATGCGCTTGTATCTGGAGCAATGCGCTTATGGCCGATCCTCAATTATAAGCGCACCCCTTTGGAAATCTTGACTTCTTATAAGCGCACCCTTTTAGTTAAAAAAAAAAGAACATCATTTTTTTTTACCTACCTAGCCTACATGTTTTAAACTTTCCATTAAGTTTGACAATCACATACAAGGGTGGTCTCTGCTGTCCTGCACTACACACCTTTCAACCTGCCTAGTCTACCCTACTGCCTATTCTTCCTCCTCGTCCGACTCAGGCTCCGTGGAGTTGTTGCCCCAGAACCCATCTGCCTGGATGTCGTCGTCCACCTCCACCTCATGGGACAACTGGCACCTTCGGTGCGCCAGCACCAGTTTGTCTTCGCTCCCATCAAGGGCGTTGCTGATGCCGCAAGTGAGGAAGGCTTTCTTGATGAGGTCGGCGGGCACCGCCTTCCAGGCCCGTGAAATCCACTTGAGCACCACCTCCGGAGGTGGTTTCTTGATGTTCCCTGCATCACACGGAGTGGGGCGGGGAAAACATGAGACAAGTAAACATGCATTCAAGCTCAAGATTTGCAGACGGGAGCACATGCCGTCACTCACCTGCCGGGGTCAGGATGTTCATGCCGTCCTCCTCAAACCAATTCTGGTACTGCTGATGAATGCTTGCTTTGAAGCTCTTGTTGATTGACACATCGAGGGGCTGCAGGTCTGCCGTGCAACCCGCCGGAATGATAGCAGGCACGATGTTGAGCGCCGCGAATCTCGCCTTGACTTCTGGTGTCAGGTGACCGCGATACGAGTCGAGCACCAGCATGGCGCTACGACTCTGCAGGCCGAATTTCGGCTTCAGGAACGGCACCACGCCCGTGTTGAGCCACTCGATGACGCCTGCGGCCTCCATCCACCCGTTCGCTTGGCAGCCGACCACAACATCTGCACGCAACGAAAAAGAACGGTTGACAACTCAGGTAGTAACGGGAATAAACACGCGCGACGATCACTTACCGTTCGGGAAGTCACCCTTGGGGAGTGTCTTGCGCTTGAAAAACACCCACGGCTTCAGCTTCTCGCCTGTCGCCGTGCACGCAAGCATGACGGCCACTCTCTCCTTCTGGTACCCACCGCTGCGGATGGGCACCGACCTCACGCCCGTCTGCTCCACGGTGGTCGCCGCCGGCTTCTCCAACCACAGCGGTGTCTGGTCGGCGTTGATGATGTAGCGGTTGTCAATGTCGTATTCGTTCCGGGCGTCACGTACGTACTGCCAAAAATCCTTGCACTGCTCAGCCACGTCTGCGGAACAGGGAGAAAAGTACATGTAGTAAACCAAATTAGTATGACGCACAGGAGACATGCGAAAAAAAAAACTAAGCGTAATCGGGATAAACCAAAATCAGCAGTAAACGACCCACTTACGCTCCTGTGTTTTCTGCGCCACCTTTGTTTTCATGCGCACGCTGAGGTTCCACCGCCTGCGGAACCGCTCCGTCCACCGCTGACTGCCTTTCCACTTGACGTCCGGGTATAGAACCTTCATCACTTCTTTGGACCACTCTTGCAGCCGGCCGACCGAAACCGCAACTCCGCGGCGTCGCCAGTCGAGGAGTTGCGCGTACACCTTTAACTCCATGGGGCGGTACCAAGACGACCTCCCGCGCCCGTGAAGTCGCATCCGTGCTCCGTGTGCAGCCTTGAGCGCCTCCGCTTGGGCTTTCCATTCTGTCAGACATTTTCGGTGTATGCCTGACTCCCGCGCCACTTCGCTCACCGAAGCCGCAAGCTCGAGCCGGACGAGCCACCTCAACTTCTCCTGGGCGGTGTAGCACTGCCGCTTATGTTGATTCAGCTTGTGCCTGGGGGAGGGGGGGCGGGCATCTCGATTCTCGGTAGACGGGTGGGGGCGTTTTTTGTTAAGGGGCGGATACGTCGGTACCGGCATCTTCGCGCGTGGTGCGTCGCGCCACCAGGACTCCACACCGTCCTCGTCCTCGTCACGGTCGGGGAACACGTCTTCCTCGTCGCCCGCTGCACCGTCGCCACCAGCTTCACCGTCGCCTCCAGCTTCGCCGGCGCCGCTGTCATGTTTGTCGGTAGCCACATCATCGTCGGCGCCCACAGCCGACTCATCCCACGCGCAGACTTCTGGTTGTCCCCACTGTGGTGCGGTCGCTGGAGCTTGGATGCGTGCATCGAGGGCCTTGGGTGTGTCCGCTTCAGCCAACCATTCGTCGAACGTGGCTGGTAAATACAGTTGGAGCACGGGCCGTTGGTGAGCACCTGCCGTAGCAAAAGCAGGCGGATTCGGAGGAGCGGGAGGTGCGGGAGGAGCGGGTGGAGCAGGGGGTGCAGGGGGAGCAGGAGGAGCAGGGGGTGCAGGGGGATCCGGTGGCACTGGAGGCGCTGGTGGCTCACGGGTATACCACCCGTCCTCGGTAAGTCGCCATGTGCGGCGTGGTTTCTTCTTGAAGAGGATGTGAGTCCCACTAAATTCCGCCATGGCTTCGCCTGCCAGGCGGGCTAGACAGGAAACTGAATGAAAAAATTAGAGACGAGGGTGAAGAAATGGGCAACGACGGGGACCCCTGCTGCGTGGCGGCTTGGGTTCCTCGTCGATGACAGGCAGGAAACCCCCGCCCACTCCCGTAGAGGCGCCTGCGTGGCAGCATCTACGCTGCGCTGGCAGGGAATCTTGCCGAACCTTCGAGATGGTTCTGCCCGAATGCACATGCTACGCAGCGCATGCGACTCTGATTGGGCCGCACGACAACATCCTCGTCACGGCTGTCACATTCGATGTTTCCAGACAACATTGTGCGGTGGGAAACCGAACCGCTGCGGTTTCTGCCTGAAAACCATGCACGATCCCACTTGGTGCATGGTCGGTTGAATTCGCCTTATTGAGAGCTTCACAATGGTGTGTTCAAAATTGATTTTCATTTTTCCCTTTATACAAGCGCATGCGCTTATAAATCTGACTCAATTATAAGCGCACCCCCCCAAAAAACAATGTTTTATTATAAGCGCAGGTGCGCTTCTATCCGGGGTATTACGGTACTGCTTTTGTTGTTATAACACTGCCTGTGAACTGGCCTTGTGGCTGCTTGCTTGTGCTTTAACTGTGTGGTGATCTTGAGATTTACCCTTAGCTTTGCTTCTCTCTTGATTGGTCTTGTGACCATCTATGTTTGTTGCCCTTCACTTAGCCTATTTTGGAGTGTTAAAATATATTTATGTATTGAAGTAGACAATAGGGAGTACAACCCTTCTAGGGTTTGGGTATATGTTTCTGAACTCTTGCTAGTGAATCCATTCCAATAATCTCCTTTCTAACAGCACCAGATTTTCTTATAAGCGCAGGTGTGCTTATATCCGGGGTAATACGTAGGTATGTGCAGGGGAATGCGGGGGCCAGTACATAAAAAACACACTGAAATAAGAGAAATTAGCGTAAAAAACCTGACTACTGAAAGCCTGCAGCACACCATATGTTGTGCTCTGAGCTGTTGTGTTTCTGCAGCTCCTGCCATCAACTCCATCACTAACCACCCCTCTCCTGCTCATCCTTTATCGTTGCCGCTTGTTAATCTCCTGCTCCTGCAGTGTACATCCGAAACATTGCTTCTCAGAATGTGCACTAGGCTTCTTTCAACAGCTCCAGCAAGACGAAAGAGCATCACACTGCAGAGATGACTTACAGGTATGTACATAACAGCCGCCGGTACTGCATCCAATTGCGCGTGCTGCTGTCAGTAGCAGCGTGTGACGAATGGCACCGCGTGAAGGTTCATGCGCTCGTGGTAAATGCGAAGAATGAGTGCCGCTGTCTCCTCGATAGGCCTCCCTGTCACGTCTGCCCACCCATGCATGCACGCACCCAGCAACAGCAACAGCAACGGCAAGCGCAAGTCATGCATACAGACACGCACATACATGACAGTTCCAATGCCAAAACAGCACACACTTGCAATGTGCAGCACTGCGCAAGCCATAAAGAGCCCTCGCAGCAGCTATCCGCAGAGAAGAATGCGGCGAGAGATAAGAGCATAAGGAGTGTTGCGGCCTACAAGCAGCATGGGGTGGAGCATACCAATGAGGGGCCAGAGGGGGTGCAGGGAAAAGAGGTCATCAGCCGCCTCCAGCTCGCCCCTCACATGCTCCGCACTGCAGTACCTCCCTCCCCCTCCCATGCCCTCTCCATACGCCGCCCCCCTCTCCCCTCTTCCCCACGCGGACCTCTCCCTCCCTGCGCCGCGGTGCGGCTGCTGCGGCAGCAAGCCCAGGCGCTGGTAGCGTGTGCAGCGGATGGCGGCGAGAGTGGGAGCGGCGATGGTGAGGGCGAAGACGCGGCGCTGGTCCACGTGGTCTGCCTGCAGCAGCTCTGCTGGTGGCGCCACCCCCGGCACCAGCGGCACATTCGCCACCTGCACATGCGCGTGGGCACGCCGTGGGGTGAGCAGGCCATGGGGTGGGGCAGGGGGGCACGGGAAGAATATGAACTTAGAACGCCAGGCTTATGGCTCCAAATGGTGCTGTCAGTACTAGGAATGTACACCTGGCGTCAATCACAGCAACGTGAGAGACAGTGGTTCTGGAGGCGTAGTAAGAATAGTGAGGCTTCACAGAAATGGAGAAGGAAAGCTCTTAGTAGATGATTAAGGTCCTCAAACAAACAGCAACCTGGAGCATCGGAAGCACGTTGAACAAGGAAACAGAGCACGCAGCGAGGGAAATAAGGAACGACGGTATCAGGGAAACAGCTGAGCGCAACTAGGGAAACAGCTGAGCGCAACGAGGGAAACAGCTGAGCGCAACGAGGGAAACAGCTGAGCGCAACGAGGGAAACAGCTGAGCGCAACGAGGGAAACAGCTGAGCGCAACGAGGGAAACATGTACATCCTGTTGCCCAGACTGACAGCATAAGGCGAGTGGGGTGACCTTATAGCCCATGTGCGCAAGGTGCATGGAGAGCGGGGTCTTGCCGGTGCGGGACACGCCCACGAGAATGATGTCCGCCTGCCCCAGGTTCCGCGGCAGGGCTCCATCGTCCTGCCTGCTCGCAGCACGCCACGCATGCAGGCGCACACACAGGGGAGCAGAGGCGCACACACAGGGGAGCAGAGGCGCACACACAGGGGAGCAGAGGCGCACACACAGGGGAGCAGAGGCGCACACACAGGGGAGCAGAGGCGCACACACAGGGGAGCAGAGGCGCACACACAGGGGAGCAGAGGCGCACACACAGGGGAGCAGAGGCGCACACACAGGGGAGCAGAGGCGCACACACAGGGGAGCAGAGGCGCACACACAGGGGAGCAGAGGCGCACACACAGGGGAGCAGAGGCGCACACACAGGGGAGCAGAGGCGCACACACAGGGGAGCAGAGGCGCACACACAGGGGAGCAGAGGCGCACACACAGGGGAGCAGAGGCGCACACACAGGGAGGCGAGTGCAGTGAGTGGTAAGAGCAGAGGCGCACAACAGCAGCTGCAGCGCCTTGGCTTGCACACTGCCAAGGTGCCTGCCCTGCACTACACTGCACGGGAGGTGCTGATGATTTGCTGTGAGACGTGGCACAGCAGGTGCAGACACGGTAGAGAGCGAGACACACAGGAGGAAGCACAGGGGAGCAGCAAGCAGCAAGCAAGCAGGGGGGGCGAGCGAGACACACCGGATGGTGAACTCCACCGCCTCGATGCGCCGGAAATACTCCTCGCCCAGCTCCCCCACACGCTTGCCCCCTGCGCCTTGCCCCGTACCCACTGCATCCACGCCCATATGCTCCCCCACAGCCGTCAGCAGCGGCCCCAGTAGGTCCACTGCTGCCACGTGCAGCGCCGCTGCTGTGTGCGTGGCGGTGTGGCGCAGAGCAGGGTCGGCGAGCGAGTGCACGAGGAGTGCACCGCTTGATGCAGCCATGTGGATGATAGCGAGGAGAGACGCCGTGTCTGTGACCTGAGGGGTGGGGCGAGAGGGAGGAAAGAGGAGAGCAGGCCAGTTTATCCACCTGCACATGCCAGCCGCCCCACTGCCACGTCCCCTGGCTCGCACATCAGCGCATTTGCCCCCCTGTGTGGGGAGGCGGTGCAGAGGGGGCCCGGGCCCATCTCATGTGAAGAGAGAAAGCGCTGGGCTGGCCTAAGTTGGAAAAAACGCAAGTTTGATGTTGCGTATTGAGTTTATACGCATCTAAAATTCGTACGCTGCGTATTTTTCTAAAATTCGCCAAATTTCTCTCGGGCTGACCGGGAAAAAAAAATCAGTTGTGTTCGCGAGTATCGGAATTCAGATTTGAGATCGCGAATTGCAAATGCAACCTCAGATCTGAATTTCGAAACCGTTTGGTGAATCGTCCCCTCCTATCAACCGCTCAACAACCCATTCCATCCAACCACATCGATTACCAATGCCTTCCAATTTTGTTGCCAACTTCAACCAGACTCATCCTCCCCGCTCAATGTCAGGCCGTTTTTCCCTTCGATCCCCTTCTAATTTCACTTGCGACGATAACCTACTACAGCAGCTCCCGTTCCCGTCTCTTGACCTAGCATCTTAACCTGCCCGGGAAAAGAATTTAGCTGCCCGGGCAAGCGTTTTTCTGTGCGTACCAGACCCCCTCCGGCTAGCGTACTGCGTATAAACTCTAGCGTTTATACGGAAAGCGTACTAAACGCGAAACGCGTTTTTTCCAACATAGGGGCTGGCACGTGGCGACAATGGCGGAGCAAGGTGCGCTGCTGTTCTTGTGCATTGCGGGGAGGACTTGGGAGGGGAGACGGCGTGTGCAATGGGTGAACGGAGGGTGAGAAGTGACAAGAAGGGATTTTTGTTCATTGCACCTCCATCAGTTCTTCCTCCCCTGCCCCCCCCCCCCCCCTCCCCTGTTCGTACCTGCGAATAGAGCCTGGTGTGCACGGAGCATCGGCCGTCTCCCACCCCGCAGTTCAGCAGCCCCACTGCCGCCCCCACCGCCCTGTCTGCCGCCCACGCCGTGCCGTCCGACACCACAAATATCTCCTTGCCACCCCCCCTTGCCCCGCTGCCATCCCCGTCAGCACGACCTGCTGCCACTGCCCCAGCAGCATGTGCCAGCGATGGTGCTGCCATGAGCACATCAGCCCCATGTGCTTCTGGTCCTTCCCTGCCCTGCACCACCGCGCCACTGCCCTTCCCCTCACCCGTGACCCCACGCGCTCTCGCCCTGCTGCTTCCCCAAAACACACTACTCGGACTTGGGCTGGGGCTGGGCGTGGTGGGCGTGGAGGGCGAGAGGGGGGCGAGCAGGCCGCTGTGCGCCTCACTCATGCTGCTCTGCCTGCTCATCGCGTCACCGCCCCCTGTGCTTGCACTCGCACTCCCAACATTCCCATCACTACTAGCACTCCCATCGCTGCCATCGCTGCCATCGCTGCTATCCACGACCGTGTGGGTGCGCCCTGCCATCCTGCCCTCATGCCCGCTCTCTCTCTCGCTCTCGTTGCCACTCTCGCTCCCTGACTCGCTACCGCTTCCGGTGCTAGCGTTGGCAGTCAGAAGGCAAAAAATGTGGAGACGGGTGGCAGGATAAAAGTGCAGGGTGTACGTAAATGGGTAGGCGAGCAACGGTGGGTAAATAGCACATGCAAGGCAGCAGGAGAGCAACAGCAGGAGAGGAAGCGAGAGGGAGCAGCAGCAGGAGAGCGAGAGAAGGAGAGCAGCAGGAGGCGAAGGAGCGTTTGGCGTACCTGTCCATACCCTTGTCTCTGCAGCGGTCTCCACGCGCCGACCTGTCCTTGCGGGGCTGACACGCAAGATACGAGTTGGAGTGGGGGGAACAAGGCGCGCACAGATGAGTGACATGCAGCGGAGACGAGCGGAGATGAGTGGCGTGCGGCGGATAGCGGCCCGAGAAAGCATGGCAAGCCTCGCCGGACAACACGCGACGATGATTGTGTGGGGGAGCCCGTCGCCGTTGGCCCATCCTCCTATAAACGTTATGTTTCGCCCTCCCTACTCTGTACCTCCGTGCGCTGTCTTCCCGTACCTCCATGCTGGAAGCCTTTTCGTCGCCGCCGTGACAGTAAAGCGCCGCGCGACCTGTTCGCGTCCCTCCCGCTCTCGCGGCCCCTAGTTCGATCCTAAGGCTGCCTCGCCGTCGCACAGTCCCGCCGCCAGTCTCAGCGAAAGTCGCCCCGGTTGTCGCTGCCATCGCAGAGCGGGAGGCGCCAGAGGCTGCTGCTCCTCCCAATCCCGCCATCGAAAGCTGCTCTCGGATCCCCTCCCTGCTGATTGTCGACTCCTACATCTGGCCGCTTCGGGCCGCCCTGTAACGAGAACTCTAAAGTTGAATCGCGATACGTACTACAAGATTGAAGCGGATTGCATGATGGCAAGAACTCATTTTCAGCGAAGATGCATGCATCCCTCCCTACTAAGGGCGATGTCAGGTTGTACAGCGTTTTGTACGCCCTCTCTGGTAAAATTCGTTTCAAGACGGTGCAGAGCGGTAACTGCCGAGAACCGCTATTCACCGTGTTGGACCGTCCTGAACCACGATCTAGGAACTGTAAGCGCATGTGAAATGTATAACCTGACGTCGCCCTAACGGAGAAAGGAATGTCCAAGCTTGTGGAAGCAAGCTTGTCCAAGCTCGCCCGAGGCACGGCGAAGTGACAGGTTCGGGAGGTGTGGTCTGGTTTGGGGAGCACTTCGTGTGTTGTGTTTAGCTCTGCCGACGTGGCACGTACCCTGTCAACGTCAGCATCACTCGAGCTGTGCTGGTAGAGTCTGTTCTACCGACAGTTGAACGACTGACGTGACTGACACGAGCATCGTATCATCTCACGTGGATTCTTCGCTGGAGTTTACGAGTGCAACGAGGGAACGTACGGAACTCCGTTGTGCAACGAGACAAATTCCCAACCTCCCGCTCGCGCTCTCGTTAGGACGTGCTGCTTTTGTAAGTTTGGGTGTCTACAAATTGGTCAGCATCTTGGATATGTGCAACGTAAACCTGCACAAAAGTGTTCATTGACAAGTCGTTCAACCTATCCCATCTAGGGTTGTCATTCCAACTAGGAAATCTAGGTTAAATCGAAACCGTTCAAGATTGTTCTCTCGACGGTTCAGGTTGCAACTTGAACTAACTTCACCAATTTACCCAATAGCCCTTACCGTATTGTAATCGCGTCCGTTCACAAGCTAAAGGTAAAGGAGGGGGGATATCCCCCTTTGGGTTACCCCCGGCTGTCGATCGTAATCCGCCTACCCACTTGTTTACACACCTCGCTGGTTATCGAGGTAAGGCATATCCACTCCCAGATGAGCAGTGCGAAACCCCCTTCTGGGGAGCTGGCGGAACTCGCCGGCACTAGGGTTTGAACCCAGAACCTCATCATTTGGAAATCCCATCTAACTTGACTAGGCCACTTCAGGATGCGTCCATCCACAAGCATTCGCATCCAATGCTCATCCTTCCGCCACCACCACACTCAAAGAGTGGGGATACACGCAAAAACGATAAAACTCAGTGGATCAGTAGGGAGCTGTTTGACAAGCATCGGCAGGCACAGAGTCAGCAGGCACAGAGTCGACACCAAACTACGAACTAGAATGTGTCACTTTTCACAAACTACTATGTGTCGACCTTATTTCGGGGTACTTGCTCAGTACGAGGTGATTGTACAACTTCCCTTATACAATTTACCCCTCGAGGCTCTCCTGCTGTTAGCTGTATCACAAGACTTCTAAGTCTGGCCGTCTCCCGCCATCAGCTTTTGCTGAGTCATCTCGCCCTTCCAATCTGTAGTAAGTCTTGCGCGTCGCCTCGCCCTCCCAACATGTAGTGAGGTCGCAGGGCATTGGTCCGTCGCAAGGTGGTGGGGCTGTGTCGCAGGAGCGCGACGAACCGTCTCCATCCAAAGGTTTGGAGTCCTTCCTCCACTCCAGGGCAGATTCTGTTTGGACGCTCGTCGCATCCCGCCCCTAGTGCCCTAACTGAGCGACCGAGAGGGCTCATCGCTTACCATGGATAGCGTCCCGACGGCGGTGGACAGTCGTCAACTCTGTTAAAATAATTAGAGCGTGAGGGCCTAGGCTTAGGAGCCTAGGCCCAATTTAGGTATCGAGTGAGTTGGGCCCAAGGGGGGAGAGTCGAGAAAGTTGTGAAAGGAGAAAAGTGGGGTTTCACTATAGGTTCAAAGAACATATAGTATAGGAAACAAAAGGGTGCACCACCTAACAAAATTTGCAATAACTACACTAACTACAGCTACAGGCAGTTACAAATATAAATAATATAAAGTCTGACACTCCCCCATAACTGCCTGCAGCAGAAGTTTGTGCAGAACACAACTTGCAGGGGTACACAAGCAACACAAGCAAGATAATAACCAAGCAACAGCAGGTACTGCAGGCGGGCTGACACTAACTGGTCACCCCCTCCATCACCTCACCCTCCTCCCTCCCCTCCCCCACACTGCTGCAGGAGCAGTAGAGAGGGGGGGAAGAGAGGAGAGGTGGAGGGACGGCTGCTGGTTGCCTCACACCCGTCACCCCGGCGCCTCTCCCCCTGCTCCCCCACACCCTCACACCCTCCCCCCCAGCGGCAGCTGCAGCAGTGGGAACAAACGGAGGAGGAGGGGAAGGGAAGGGTACGACCCACACTCCAACACCCTCCACCCCCATACCCTCCTCCCCGCGGCTGCAGGGAGACAAAGGAGGAGGGGGGTGGGAAGGAAGAAAGCCGCAGAGCGGCGAAGAGGTGTCGGTGCAGTGGTGTCAGGGGCGGCTTCAGGGAATGTAGGTGCGGAGAGCACCGTCGCAGGCGCCAGGGGCGGGTCCGCGGCGGCTCAAGGGCACCGCCACGGGCGCCAGGGGCGGGTCCGCGATGGCGCAGGGCACCGCCGCGGGCGCCAGAGGCGGGTCCGCGGGCGCCAAGGGCACCGCCGCGGGCGCCAGGGGCAGGTCCGCGACGGCAAAGGGCACCGCCGCGGGCGCCAGAGGCGGGTCCGCGGGCGCCAAGAGCACCGCCGCGGGCGCCAGGGGCGGGTCCGCGACGGCAAGGGGCACCGCCGCGGGCGCCAGAGGCGGGTCCGCGGGCGCCAAGAGCACCGCCGCGGGCGCCAAAGGGGGCGGGTCCGCGACGGGTAGAAAATAAAAACGTCACGCGCCCGAGGCGCGTGACCAGAAATTCAGCAGCGGAAGCTTTGGTCGGGCCCACAGGCCAGGACCAACCTGCTCTGATACCATGTTAAAATAATTAGAGCGTGAGGGCCTAGGCTTAGGAGCCTAGGCCCAATTTAGGTATCGAGTGAGTTGGGCCCAAGGGGGGAGAGTCGAGAAAGTTGTGAAAGGAGAAAAGTGGGGTTTCACTATAGGTTCAAAGAACATATAGTATAGGAAACAAAAGGGTGCACCACCTAACAAAATTTGCAATAACTACACTAACTACAGCTACAGGCAGTTACAAATATAAATAATATAAAGTCTGACAAACTCAACTCTCGCCAAAGCTCCGAACCATATTCGTATTTCCTGCTCTCCCATTGGGGGTATTTCTACTCGCCGCTTATCATCCACACCCCACACTTTCCTTTCCGCAATTTTCTTCTGATCAGATCGACCAGCAGGTAGCGTGCGGTGCTACAAGTACCGCCGCTGGTGTGAAAACAAAGAACGAGAATGGAATGACTATGAACGAAGTGAGTACAAATAGGAAACCCTAATTGGGTTGTACCCCCTATGGGATACCCCACTATAGCCTACAGAAACAAGTAAGATATAAGTTCTGACACACCCCCATAGGCAAAGTGGGGGAGAACAAGGGGTCACAAGACCAGTTAAGCAAAGCAAAGCAAAGCTCAGGGTGGATCACAAAGTCACCACGCATTCCGAGCACAAGTTCAAAGGCCACAAGGCCAGTTCACATGCAAGATCATATATAGAGATATACAAGAACAAGAGTATATATATGCGAAAGTACAAGCAAGGTCAAGAGGAGAGCAAGTGAGGCAAGACAGGCACAAGACCCAACTGCGTGCAGCAACGCTGATGATCACAAGGCGCAAGTGCCTTGGTGAAGACATCAGCAGTGTTGGCCTCAGAGGCCACGTACGCAAGTCGCAGCTGTCCACGCTGCTGTAGCTCACGAGCAAGAAAGTAACGAAGAGCAATGTGCTTCGTTCTGTGCTCCAGTCGCTGCTCTCGACACAAGGCCAGCATGGCCTTGTTGTCTACGTACAGGACTGGAGGAGAACGAGGCTGCTCTCCAAGGTCGGTCAGCAGGTAGGTGAGCCAGCGTAACTCCTGTGCAGCCATAGCCCCAGCGTAGATCTCAGCCTCACAACTGGAGCCGAGAACAGAAGACGAGCGGGTAGCCCGCCACGAGACAGAGCCGGAACCAAGGCTGAAGGTGTAACCCTGTGACGACCGCTGCGTAGCCTGGTCGTCAGCCCAAGAAGCGT